ATATATATATATATATATATATATATATATATATATATATATCTACTGTGTGTGTTTGTTTGTTTATGGGTATATATATATATATATATATATATATATATATATATATATATATATATGTGTGTGTGTGTGTGTTTTTCATAGGTGGAGTTTGGGGAATGTCATGTTTGGTATTTAAGGGAAGAAAGATATAGGTATATGAAGTGACAAGAGAAAAAGTGAAAGCGTGGGCAATTCGTGGATAATTTGCTATACTAGGGCTCTTATTAATGTTTTTGTTATATTTATGATAAGTTGAAGCACACGTTTTGGGATAAACTCGCTGTCAGCTGTAATCTATTGTGTTTACTCCAATGCTGTCACCAGTTTAATTTCTTACACAGTAGAAGTGAAAGCGTGGCAATTTTATTTCAATGAAGAAAAGACATTTGCTCTTTGTTCTACGGTTCTACCATACACATATATTATTTTTTTTGTTTTAATTTATGTGACATAGTTTAATTTGACACAATTTTTTATTTTTTTAAACTTATCATCTAAAATATGCTACTATAATATGACCCTTGATAGGAAAATGTGGAAGTCGAGAATTTGTGTAGAAGGTTAGGTGTTTTCTGTTTTCCTTGTTTATGCTAGTAGTATTAGTGTGTTCGTCGTGCTAGTCTTGTATTTTTTGAGATTTCTGTAATTACTTGTTGTTACTACTTTTTTTTTACACTATCGTCCCCAAACGCTATTTGTGGAACTATACTGAATTTTTTGTTGTTGTTGTTGTTGTTTTGTTTCTTTGAGGCTTTGAGACAGGAGATTTGATTTTGGAGTGCAATACAAACTCAGTTACATGACTCTTCTCGCAAGGAATCAATGAAAAATAATATAACAATTCTCTATTAATAAAATATTAATTTTTTTTATTTTTATTCAAATTGTAACAAGACATAAAGAGATAATTTTCTTCTGTAATTTTACAATTGTCTGACCCGTGAAAAAATGGAAGGTGGTGAGATTTCATATTGCAAGAGACAACTTCATCGTAATATATGTCTTGGATGAGCTAATCCTATGGTCATGTTGATGTGTTTCAATTTCTTTCATATCCTCAATCTTTTTTTGAGTTATATATGAATAAGCTAAGCTTTAATTGCTTGAGTCCCACTACAATAGTTTTATTGGATTTTGATTATGCAATAATATATTTATTTTGATTAATTAGTAATTATTTTGGAAAATCATTAGTTCGACTAATTCAAATTCACTCATGTCGAATTGACCATGAATAAAATGTTTGCTCTTTGGATGATGACCAAATCATTTCACTACATTAATTAAGAGGTTTTTTGGGCATGGTGTATAGGAAAAAATAATCATGGTATAGTTGTCGTTATAGTTGTTCCATATTTTGTATATCATCAATTTTGGTAAAACTTAATATCATTATCTGAAATAACTAATTCATGTATAACTTATACGTGGATAAAATACAAAGGGACAAAAGTATTTTTGTATTTTTTCTAGAAAAAGTAAAGTATCCAAGAATATAATTGTAAACTCATAGTCTTTAAAGTAAATAAATATTTTAAATAATATCTTGTATATCTAATTTTTAGTACAATGAACCAAACACACAACGAAAAATAATCCAGCCATTCGTTGAACGATATTTACTCTTTTATAGATTAAGCATATAAAACAACTTAGTACCGAAGTTTAGTAGGTGAATATTTGTCTCCTTTTTTTTTATATAGTTTATTTTTTGATTATACGTAACTAGAATTAGGAAAATATAATGAGAAGCATTAATGTATGGTTATAATTTGACATCGAAATCTTATGAATGCAATCAGAGCTAACAAATCCTTAGTAGCACTTACCCTTAAAAAATACCTGTATAATACAGACCGTAGATTTTAGAATCCAACTTGTAGAAAAATCAACTATTTCTTACGTTCCTTTGGGGCCCATTTCATATTTAATCATATAACATAAGAAAAAAGGATTTGAGACAACTAAAAGATGCCCTTTTTGCCGAAGGAAAAAAGAAATTTATTCATATTATAATTTGTTACAGTCAAAGAGGAAATTATAATACTATTTGTTTGTGGTCTGGTAGCTAGCAGATATTTCAATGGACTAGAATTAACCAACAAGGCTCCCATTGATCCATTAATTGTTGCACATTTCAAACTTGTGGATGTCACATGCATAATACATTAATACTATGGTTTTTTGATATAGGCAATGATCAATTTATTTTGTCCTGTCATTTCAATATTGCCAAAACCTTAACTAAAACATTAACTACCTTTTTCGGTCCCATTATTGTCTCATTGCGGGTCATAACATAATAAAAGTATCACCAACAGAGATTGTGATGGAGTGGTAAGTATTCCTTCATTCTTATAGAGGTACTGAGTTTGTGTCCTTGGGTACAGAGTCGCCTATGTTAGGAAGCGTTTTACCCCCAGACTTTTCGGCGCGGATCCGAATTTAGTCGGGCCCCAATATGAGTACCGGAGACCGAATGACAAACAAAAAAAACATAACAAATGTATCGAAGAAAGACATTTTGTCATAAATAATTAGAGAAAAGAAAAGAAAATGTATAACATGACAAGAAATCTAACCATGAAGTGCAAATAATATAAGACGTTATAAAGTATATTCTTATGTAATTATTATATATTATCATTTGTTTTAATCATGTTGCTCAAGTTATTTATATCATGAACTTCACAATTATGATATTTTTATGTGATCCAATGCTATTAGTTGACCCCACAATCAGTTTTCTTTAATTTCATAAACATTTTGTTCTTGAATATGCATTGCATGAAGAAGCAAAATGGTACTATCAATTTTATTGAAACAGTAAAATATGATGTACTCAAATAAATACGATAATAATTCTCTAGTATAGGAAGAAATGTGGTTCCGTGAATTTTTATTATTAATTATAATAGAGAAACTAACATATAGATTATCAAGAATTCTCTAATATATTAAACAAGTTAGGCAATTCCATGCACAGTGTCAGTGGATAGAAATTCACTTTATGCCAAAAAAGTAGTGTATAAAAACAAATAATTTCAGCCAAAAAAAATTCGCAGTTAGTGTTTCACTTTGCATCAAATTTGTACAAAATTCAAATAAATATAACAAACAGATAATATTGTTATTATACATAAATAAAAAAAAGTGCGATGCCATAAATATATCTACGTGAGATAATATTTAGCGATATGACATCTTTTCTTTAATTAAATCAATTAAACATTAAAAATAAGGTAAAACAAGGTGTTTGAAAAATTAACAACTCCTTTCATATCTATATAAATTCTTGTCCTTTCTTATCCTAACTGATAAGATAAAAAACAAGGTGTTTAAAAAGTTAAAAACTCCTTAGGATCGGTAGAAATTTTTTAACCTAATTTCTGAGTCTATATATTTGTTTATCCATTCATTCATCAAACATATAGCAAAAAGAAATATGGCCCGAGGTGGTGAATAATTTTTTTAACGAATGGTTTCAGATATTGTTCTTACTTTGTAGGTACATTTTTAAAAAGAAATATTTTACCTTAAGCAAAGAATGAAAATTAATATTTATATCGATACTGTTTTAAGAGAAAAAAGTTTACAACAATGTATCTATTTGAACATCAAAGGAAGATGAGTAGGTGAGTTTCCACATTTAATAGTGATAAATTAATTTTACTTTAATAAATATAATTAAAAAATATAGCATATTCGTTGAGTTGTTGTATAAGTGGATGCACATTCGAACTCGGCGATTATATAATTAAAAAAAGATAATTACATTTCGATATTTGTATTTTATTCTATTTATAAATTAAAGAATAGATAATTAAATATGATACATTATTAGGTATATATTATTTTAGCATTATCCTACTTTTGTGAATTGGATGATTAAAGTGTCATATCATCAGAGAATTGAAATAAAATTTGCGTACATTAGTTATTGGGTTGGATATTTTATGAAAATTAATTTTTTCTTTTTTACTTTTATCATTATAAACATGTCAAGAAACCTAACAATAAAGTAAAGTATAAATAATTAAAGATGTTAGTGTTTGGACTAAAAATTACCTTGATTATATGTGGACCAAGTGGATATTAAGGAAGCCTTCGAAGGCCGCCACGTGTCGTCAACAAGGTACAATGACTTGGTTCAAAAGGTCGATGTCATGAGAAAATAGCCTGTCGTCGATGAGGTCGAGGTGGCTCAACAGAGGACGAATACGAGGATGAGCACTCCTTTATTGTAGCAGTAACGGCTAGGTCTAGGATGCCAGTTCTCCAAAAAATATTTCAGTGACTATTCCTTCTAGTTGTACTATTTAGGATTTTTATAATCCATGTGCTCTTATAAATAGAAAGATATGTAGTTATAGGGGGAATTGAACAACTCATTGTAAAAAATAACATATTGACATTATCGGAAGATTCTTCCTTTAACATACCCATGCAAAGTTCATCTTTTTCTTATATCATTATTTATTCATTCATTCGAATATTCAAAGGCTTATCTATCCTTGTCTGACTTGGGGAATCTCATCTTTCTCAGGCGACATCCATCTATTTATTTACATAAATATTATTTTTATTATTATTTATTGCTATCTTCCATATTCTTGGATCATTTATTACACCATTATCACTGTCATTCATTGCAACTCAATAGCACACGTGAGATCTTACTACAAAATTATTTGGTCTATCTTTTGGATATTAATATTAGCTAAGATTGACCCTACTTGCTACAAATTTGAGTGTATAAATCTAAATCTAAATTTTGTGTCATATAGTTTAGTGCCGTCTGTGGCAATTTCTTAGTCAAGTTTTTAGTTTTTATTGGATTACAACTCACGTGACCTACTAATCTAACAAACCACAAAGATTATTTTTTTTCTCTGTGTGTACAAAAAAAAAAAACTCTCCATGGCA